TTATTGATTTATTGATTTTTTAATAATTTGCGGACATTAAATCGTCGGACACTTATATCACTATTTTGTACAGTAAATTTAAAAGTGGAAAAAATGAAAATTAGATATGTGGTAATCGATTTTTCATACCCCGTGAAAATTCCGATTTCCAGCTGTCGGACTGAAAAAACGCGGCTTGAAATTTGTCGGACAACAATACTTTTTGACTGAATTAATTATTTACAATTAATTTTACTAAAAATTACCTATGTGGTAATTGATTTTCAATACCCTGTTATTTTGGCATGTTTCGACCGGTAGACACGTCAATGTCGGAGGAATTTCTGTCGGACAAATTTAAATCGGCATTTGCAACAAAATTTCCAGTTACTTAAGCTAAAAATAAAAGATGTGGTCTTGACTTTTCAAGACCCCGGGAAATTGCCATGTTTTTGGACTTTTCCGAGTGGAAAAGTGGAGGAATCGAGAAAAGTCGCAGAGAAAAAATGTGGTAGACTCGTCAAAAGGATGCGCCTCAGGAGTTATAAAGTATGTGGTAATCAACTTCCAGGGGGGGCTTGTGCTTGTACTGTGGACTATAACTGTTACGTATTAATCGTACATAGAATGTTTAGGAATATTTGAGGAGATATTCGTTATATGCTCATATTTCGCATCTGTACATCGTGTGTATGATACTCCTTAGCGCTATAATTTTGGCCAAATCTGCAAAATTTGTGTTTGACAAATATTTAACGAATAACCTCAGGGTCTGGAGCCTGCTTCGGACTTATTATCAGAAACTCATTCAAAATTCAGAGCACTCTTGTAAACTTTTTTAATGTTTTCAAGAAAAAGTTATTCTTGATAAAAAGTTTTGCTTATCTTAGGAAGCCATGGGCAGTAATCAAATATGTTAATTTTTTAAGATAATAAAATATGCAGGGCGTCCAAAAAATTTTAAAATGTGAAATTTTCCCTAAGCAAAGTGCCTTTAACTTTTGTTTTCGTTAACAACTGTTTAACAAAGTTATTCGAGAACTCAAGAAATACGGGATTTAGTCAAAAAAGAAAAATATTCATATTTTGCAAATAAGAAGAAGCAATTTTTAACTATCTTACTTAAAGCAGACATATGTTGTTACGAACAGTTCTTGGCGAAATACAACGCTCGTTGTGATGCCAAAACTACCCTATTCTCCGGACATGACCCCTGTGACTTTTTCTTATTTCCCAAACTCAAAAGGATACTCAAAGGACAAAGTTTTTTTCAGCAGTAGATGGGATAAAGGCAAAATCACAAACCGTGCTCAAGACGACATTTAAAGAGGCGTTCCATCAATGATTCTCAAACTGGAAACTACATTGGCATATAAGTGTATAATATCACAGATACTTTGAAGGAGACGGGATCAAAATTGAAGATTAAATAAATAATACTTTCTGAAAAAATTAACAATTTGATCAAACTACCAACTTTTTTATCAAACCTCGTATTAGAATTAAAAAGTAACAACTAAAAAAATGTATTTGTTTGTTATATATAGCGTGTCCAATTAATAAGCGCCAAAATTTTTAAAAATTTATTTTTAATTTTTCTGCCCGTCACTAGAGCATAAGTCGAAACTAGGGAATTCGACCCCGGACATTTTTTCTAATCCTGGGATTTCGGGATTATGTACTTAGTCAATCCCGGAATCCCGGGATTATTTTGGTATCGAGGGTTACAAATAAAAATAAAAAATTCTTACAAAAATCAGCTCTTTAATCAAATCAAAATTTAGACAAAAATCAACGTAATCAAAATTTAAACAAAAATCAACATAATCAAAATTTAGTCAAGAATCAACGTATTTTACGATATACATGTTGCCATTTAAAAAAATATCGCTCTAGTAGCTACAGCAGAAATCTGGAAACACCGGAAAGAATATTTGTAAATTTTTCTTAATCAAGTTATTTCCTACAACTTTGCATTTGGAAGTACTAGTCTATCACTTCAAATAAAAAAGTTGGCCTATGTCAAGTTTTACAAAAATAGCACTGTATTTAGTTATAGTATTTTTTGTGCATTTATTGATTTGACACTTATTATTATTGCTATTTCAAATTTCTATTTACTAAATGTTTCAGACCCGACATATGCAGGAATGGCGTAGGATAGTTACAATATTTGTGGAACTGATTCGAAAGGCTAGTCAACAATTGGAAATTCCTTCGAATAGAGAAAATGTTCGTACGTTTCTTTATAGTATAAACACATACATTCAACATTCAACGAATACGATTTTGTATTTAGTATTATTAAGAGAAAGTATTTTATTTTCTTCGAAAATATATAGGGTGTAACTTTGAACGGGGTCATATTTATACGGGAGCTACCTTTAATCTTTAGAAACAAAAGTTTGTTTGCTCATCAAATTCCGTTGTGAAAACTGATTTTTTTCACTTTTCTTTCGCAATTTTCATATCCCGTCACTGGACAAGCTAATGAGGCCTCAAACAATGCAGAAAATTTTGGAAGGGAGCCTGTATTATATACAAAATAAAAATTTAATGTTTTAAAATTAAATAAACTAACAGAAAACTAAAAAAAGTAATAAAGATAAATAAAATAAATGAAAATAAGTAAATAATTTGTTTGCTAAGTTGATTTTTACAGCCTGTGTTCAAAAATTTCCTCCATTAGTGCCCAAACATGCCTCAACATATCCGATCATGGAGTGTCCTACCTTATCTTATTAAATTCCATATTCTACTGAGTGTACAGATGTTCAAAGCTAACAATGTTGGGTTAGGATAATTCATTCGTCTTCTTGCAGCAGCATTGTTTTCTTTTGACAAAAAATAAGCTGTAACCATATCAACTCTCTCTTGCTTTGTACACATGCTTTTTCATATATCACACAGAAACAAATAATTTTATAAGGTTATTTTTACTATAAATTTAAAGAAAATAAAACACACAACACTGCACTAAGTATTCTATTACGATTCCAGTAAAAACTTCTACTTCGCAGAGAAAGTCGCGAAATTGCCTAGCGTACTACAAACATTTCAGAAACCAATAAACTGAAAATTAATATAAAAATGTAATAAAATGAAGCGGTGATGACGTATTCTGCTTAATGACAGAATACGATAATCGTTTTGCCAAATTAGTGTTGGCAGTTTCTTTTTTACCCGGGATGGTATACCAGATATACAATCAGTTGGCTTATTTCAATCGTGTAGACAATGATCAAGCACATGCGGAAACTATTAATCGCATTCAGAACCGGAGTTCTGTATCGCATCCAATTTTCATTTCGTACGTACGTACGGTTCAATTTTATTACTGTTTTTATTTTATTCGACTGATGAAAAGGCTGCCTAAGAAAAAGAGTAAAAATATACAATATTTTGTCTAGAGTTATATACATTTTTAATAATATCTGTTTCTACTTTGCTGAATGCGTCCCTGTCTACTTTATGTGGTAACCGAAGTTCAGTTAAACTAGGTCAATATCAGAGGGCATTGGCACTGAGATTTACAAATGAAATACATTGCTTTAAGAAAAATAGTAATAGTAGTAATTTCATACCAGTCGGATTAGTAAGTATTTTTATTTATTTGTACGTTTTTAAAATAACATAATTTAGTTTTACTTACAATTAGTAACGATATTACTTTGATAAGTCATACAAAAACTTTCAATTTTTGGTGCACTGATTAAAAAAAAAATATGATGTCATGAAAATAACACATCACAGTCATATAAAAGCAGTCTGTTTTTACTAAAACATTTTGCATTGTAAGTTCGCTCTCTCACAGTTGATTTAAAAAAGCAACAATTGGCAACGCTAATAAGTGCGCTGAAACAACTGCTTCCGAGTGCTACCCAGTGGTGTTTTCAACAAGAATTTTATTGCACTTTAAAAAACGAATTCTAACTCAACTAAAAAAAATAATGTCAGAAAGCATTCTGTGGAACAATATTATTATCCCTAAAAAAAACCAATCCCCATTCCTTAAAGTTATGCCCTGTGTACCTATTAAGTTCGGAACTTCAAGTAGTAAGTAAGTAACACAGTAACTAAAAAACAAAATTAAATACTTTTTATTTACTTGATTCTAAGAATGTTATAATGTATTTAAAAATTATTTCCATTGGATCAGTTCATGAGGCCATTGCTATATCTCATTAAAAATTTAAATATTAAACTTATAAATCGGGAGAACCTTTGCGAAAAATTTAAATGGGTCCTTTTCACATCTTTAAATTAATGTGTGGCATAGTTCATGGACGGAGACAATGTCATGGTAGGTATACTCTTTCCGAAGTCAGTTGAACATGTAAAAAAACGCCAGGCAATAAAATTGAATGACTTTCATAGGCGTGAAAAAGTCTTCTGCTGAAGGTAAAAATTATAATAAGTTGTATATAATGTGTAGAAATTTCTATTATATGTTCATTTGGTCAACAACATATTTTAATAAACAATATAATATAAACAATATTATACATGGTGTCCCGGAAATGGTGGGCAATCTCTCGGATATGGATAGATAATGAGAAAATAATGTCACAAGTTCATATAAAAGTTTTCCCTCCAGGCTCACCCTGTAGAGTTATTAGCTCTTGAAGTTGAGAATTAAAAATGGTTTTTTTGCTGTAACTTTTGTATTTTTCAATAAATTTTGAGAATTTTTTGGCTGGATCTATAATTTTTGAAGCTGCTTTGGATGATAATATGAAATCCTCGACAATAATTATGGGGGCCCGGGGGCAAAGCACCCCCTACCAAAATTTCTAGACAAAAAAATTTTTGTTCTACTATACCCCAAATTTTCCATCATTTTATAAAAATTTATGGTATTTTACGTAAAAAAGGTATACCTACTTGTTGAATATCCATAAAATAGATATTTTTTGAGATAAACCCGTGTAAAGAGGAAGGTACCATTTAATTTGAGACATTTTTAATTGAAATACAGATTTAATCGTGGTAGGCTTTGACATAACAGAGTATGCCAAAGGCAATTAAATTGTCAAACTTGTCAAATACGTAGTTTTAAATCAAAGACTCACCTCATAACTCATAATTTGTTATAAAATATGGAGTATTCCAATGAAGAATATGCTGATATGCATTTAATGTACGGGCGGGCTCTTTGTAATGCTTCGGCAGCAAGAAGATTTTATCAGCATTCTTATCCTAATAGAAGGATTCCGGATCGCAAAACTTTCGAACGTATTGATCAAAGATTAAGAGAAACTGGTAAAATACGATTACTATGATTAAACAAAATGGATATTAAATAAATTTTAATGTCTTTAGGTCAGTTTGCTCCTGTTACTGCAAACAGGGGTGCCCCGCGAACAGCACGTACAGTTGAAGTAGAGGAAAATATACTGGACGAAGTTGCTGCTCATCCAACAGTTAGCATTAGGTCATTATCTTCTTTTACCAATGTTCCAAAGACCACTGTTGCAAGAATCCTTAGAGAACAGCTTCTTCACC